AATTAACAGCTTTAAATTCCATAACAAGGCTTAAAAATTAATCAATCAAAACTTAACAATAGTTTTCTTTTTAAATTTGTTAACTTCTATCTGCATGGAAAAATAGTTGAGTAATTTTTACACAAGAATTTACTTGTCAAATGTTAACATTTAATATTGCTAATAGAAGGCTAGGATTGGTAAAAAAAGGAAAAGAAAAAAGTAACTAACAAGCAAAGTTGTTCGTAAGAGGGAAACGAAGTCTCACCCTAGTTGGGTGATACATTCTTGTATTTGAGCAGAGTATTCCTCACATTGATAATTATTTTATCACTGATTCTATGAATTAATGCAAGCCATACGTTCACTTAACCTGTCACTTAGTTAACAAGACATTATTTGCTGTTTAAATCCTAGACATGCTTTACAATGTTAGAGAACTCTCACATTTATTCAAATGAAATTAAGGACCCGGTAAAATTTTAAGAGTTGTTAGGTACTCCTATTTTGAGTGAAATGCATGAATCCAACATTAAGTCAGATAAGTCTCGGTTATTCTGTAGACAGGGGTAGAGAGTTCTGAATCAATTCTGGAGCTCAAAATTTTACTAAGTTACATTTTTTAAAAGACCTGACTCTGAGGTGTTGTATTTCAACACAGTTTTGTCGTATCTCAATTTACAACGCTTCATTCTCATTTAGTGTTCAATCCAAGTCTCAAGCAGGATCTTTTGCATTAGTTTTAAGTAAATACATACTTCATTTTGATACATGTTTTGATCTACAGTGATCTTTGCTCTTTAAGTTAACAATTAGAGAAAATCGATTTGAAGGTAGCATGATAAAGAGAGACATATTTAGCTTTGATGCAAAATGTCTTGTCTATATATTCATAATATTTTACGGTTAAGCAATCTTCCAAAAAGAGGTCGATTTTTTTTAAAAGTTTGCAATTGGAAACTTCAAATTTTACAATGGCTAGAATTACTCTGCTGCTGTTCAAATTTTTCCCCTTCATCAAAAAAGTAAGTACAGCTGAGGAATAAGTAAATGATTTGCTTCAAAAATAGATAAAATGCAAAGTATCACCTACAAATCTATCAAACGAAACGTAGTAGAAAATAAAAAATATTCATCGAATAACGCTACGATGGGCCTAAGAAAATACAAGGATATTATGTACAATTTACAATGTTCATTTACACTTTACATTAAGTACAGAAGATAACATATATGGCAAGACTTGATCTAATTTTATTTATTGTAAGTTATAAAAGTAGGTACAATTTTATGTATATTAAAATACCTATTTACAGTTTATGGTAAAAAGAGAAAAAATAAGATCATCATATCAAATTTACACAATTTATACAAAAATAACAGACAAGTTTGGTTCACCAGTTTAATTGACCATTTTGATCGCTTTAGTGTCCGTCGAGCTAAGTCCAAACGATCTGCCAAAAAGAGAACTCATGTTTCAAGTCTAGGACCACGTTGGTAACCTTTTTAAGTTACCATTCCTCCGATTCAAAAACCATTCTATTAGCTTCTTTTAATTCAAATTGGAATTAATTTCCTATGAGGATGAAAGAGAAAATTTCATGGTGAAAGGGATGTATGATCTCACATTATTTGTGAAAAGAGGACTCGGAAACTTCAGCAAATAATTCGTTTAGTAGTGATTGATTCAAACCTTGTTTATCAACCAACAATTACTCCAATGAAGACTTTGTAAATTTCTTCATTTATGTTTTCAGAAGTTCCTCACCATCAAAATTAATGTTCAATGCTTTCTTTTCCCCCTCTTCCTTTTTTTCTTTGAAAAGCTTCCTCCTGTACATTGTTAATTAACAAAAAAATTTTCGACCATCCAGTTCCTAGTCAAACAGCGGCACTCTTGAAATGGAAGAGTGAATTACATCGATGAAAAGAACCCCCAAAACCATTACTGTGAAGTGCATTTACATCAGGGTACATCGAGTCTTACTGAAATGTTGCCATTTTTTCTAGCATGCATTAAAGTCTCCAAAAATGAGGGTATCCCTCACTCGCAGAGAAATCGTGATATAGGAAGGGAAGGAAGTGATAATATTGATCGTTTCCATTTAGCAAAGAGATTGTCAAGACTTTTATATACTTGGCAACTAAGTTTGAAGTACTTTTTCAAGAATATCAGATCGAAATTCATCACCGTAGTTTTTTTATAAGAATGGAATTTTCGAAAATAAGCCGTTTTAATTGCAGCAAAGGTGAGCGAAGGAATTCAGTTGTGATTCAAATTTTGAGGAAGTTAATCAAGAATGGTGTTTGGTGATCGAAGCTGAACAAAATTGATCACAGTTTGATACTCAGTGAGAATGATAAAAAAATAAAAATTTTCTCAGCCCCGATCAACCTACAAATTCCTTTAATAGTCGCTGAATCAACGGCACTTCTTCAAGGGCTCTGCCTATTAGGGAGTCGCTCATTTTTGCTTCATGTTGCATTACTTTATTATTTAATTGCTTCAAAAAGTGGTGAAACAAATTTGTCGCCATGGATAAAACCTTTGGGCATGAGACTGTACAGAAAGTTTGTTCATTGACTGTAATGATGAGGAAATGATCAAGATAATTTGTTTCGATCCTCAAACCATGACTGCATTTTTGTGAGGCTTTAAATCTTGTAATTTTAATCAAGGTAGAATCCGATTTCGAAATCACGCAATAATTGTTCCAGGCTCATATTACCATCCCGATCCTTCAACTGTGTTTTCCAGTGTTGACTGAAGTTGTGGGAGGGATTTAAGCCATTCAAGATCAGGTTTTTTTACTTTGAACAAGAACAGATACCAAAGTCTAGTAAATAGACGCCCGAGTTTTAAGCCAAGCAAAATAGAATAGACTGGATGAAATTTTGAATCTACGAGTAGAACTCAAAACCTCTCATTGGTGGTCAATTACCGTCAATTAACAATTAAGTCTGTTCCCAATCAATTATTCCAACATAAGAACAAGGCTACTATCGTAAAAAAACCATACTTTTGTGTACAGACAAGATCGAGCATGTCACTCAAAAGGGTCGATACTTGAAGGAAGAACACCATGCTTGACCCATACCTAACTCTTGATGGAAGAAGCCAAACAAATAAGACTAATTTTCATTTGTGTCATGTCCAAGAGCGATTTTAAAAAACCGAGACACGGAAGTGGAGGGAAGAAGGATTCACAATATAGGATTACAAAATGAGAGAAAGAGCCGCATCAGCTCTTAATTCTTGCTTAATAGCAATGTGATTCAAGGAATATGAAAATCTGCCTACCTTTGTGTGTGTGCTTCACGAATGAGGAAGAAGGATTTGACGCTAGATTTTCCACGATTGAAAAATTAAAATAAAAGAGAAACTCAGTTCTTCTTCAATCCATTGGCCATTCATTTCGATCTACTCACAAGTCGATCGGCAAGCCGCGATCAACATTTCAGTGGCTGACGGGACACTTATGCCGTGCCTTCAATTATGATACAACTATTTCGACTCTGAAGTAGATCAAATTGCATAGCTGACAATTTGAAGGGGATTTCATTTTCTCTTGTTTCAATCTTTCAGACGCCTCTGCGATGCATGGTAACGTATCCATACGTTTCTGAAATGAAGTAAGAGGACGATTTTTTCTCAAGATCAGTATAGGTATCAGAAATTTTAAAATTATTCTAAATTTTTGTAGTATGGAATTTTTCGACGGACTCTTGTGATTGCGAGATTTTTGCGATCAAAGCTATACCCAGTGACGTAAACTGTGAAAATGGCCGCGGAAGTTAACACTCAACAGAGACATGGAGAGACCCCTCACCAACCTCCTAGTTAAAGGAAACTTTGACTTTCGGTGATTCAACGTATCTCCTTATGGACAATACTGTAAGACAGAAACCGTCATCATCATTGTGTTGGCTGTTGATTTGCCTACTAAATGGATAGCTAAGGATGACAATCTATGTGCCGAACAAGTTTAGGTTCCAAAAATCAGCCTGATCGCAGAACGAAATGCTTAACGCGCTGCTTAATATCCTCCTAGTAAGAAGGTTGACTGTCAAATGTTGGAATCCCGAAAGTAAAAGCTTCCACCATTCTGCCGTATTACCGAAGAGAGTCTACGCTCTTTTCAAAATTGAGTTTTCTTCAAAATTTGTCGAATTTTTATCACCCGAGGATTTTTTATGAGTTTTCTGGTTGCCAAATCTTCAGATTTCTTAAGATTGTCAAATGACAATCTCAAGGAGATCTGAAGATTCCCCTCATAGGGAGTTCCTTTATAGGGAGAGTTGAGACAACGCGGCTCATGGATGTCACAAACGGGAATAAAGATTATACAAATTGAACGCTTATCGTAATCTTTGATCAACTCATTCCCGGATTCCTGTCTCTGTCCCCTTTCTCATTCCGTTTGTTCTTTGCCGCACCCCTAATTCCCGGTCCATTCCGGTTTAGGTATAATCTTTGCAATACGTGAAAATGTAATCTTTATTCCCGTTTGTGATACAGCGAAGGCCTAAAATACGGGAACCAATATGAGTGGATTCGTATCATCTTTACTCCCAGTGTAAAGGGACTCAAGTCAAAACTTGTGTTACGATTTTGTCACTAGGCAGGGCTCCCATTCCTCGGAACTAGTACCGAATTCAGGAACTTTTGAGATTTTCCTGGCTTTTTCCCCGGAACTTTTGAAGTTCCCGAAATTTTCCGGATCTCTTGCATTTTCCGGAATTTTCTCGGAACTTTGAAAACATCTCTAAAGAATCCCGGAACTTCTGACGGTCATGGAGTGGGAGAAATTGGGACAAAAAAGTTCCGAATCCCGGAACTTTTGACGGATCTGTTGCATTTCCCGGAACTTTCTCGGAACTTTTGTTAAAATCTGTGAAGAATCCCGGAACTTCTGACGGTCATGGAGTGGGAGAAATTGGAACAAAAAAAGTTTCGAATCCCGGAACTTTTGACGGATCTGTTGCATTTCCCGGAACTTTCTCGGAACTTTTGTGAACATCTAAAAAGAATCCCGGAATTTTTGACGGTTATGGAGCGGGAGATTTTGGAACAAAAAAGTTCTGAATCCCGGAACTTTCGACGGACCTAGAATGGGAGCTTTTTCACCCGGTAATCGTTTTCTGGTTCTCGAACCATCAATGGAGGGTCTCTCCTGGTCTCGGACTCGTGCGGATCTAGGATTCGTGGATGAGGTCAACGGGAGGTGGAACACTCTTAGGGGGGGTGTGCGAGGGTGTGGCGTCATTGCTGTGCGGAGGACGAGGCGGAGACTTGGATGGTGTCGGACTTGTGGAAGGAGGGCCGGTTACCCTGGCCGATGCGGTCCTGGAGCTCGGGGATGGAGGCGAAGTTGTTCTCGGAGCGGGGCTTGGGGAGGCTGGCCGTGAGGATGTGGAGGCTCTTGCCGAGCTCGGTCAGGAGGCTCCGGGCCCCGATCCCGATCGGCTCGATGGAGGTGTTGGCGTGGTCCGCCTGCTCCGAGAGGGCGTTCACCACCGCGTTGATCGTCTTGCTCTCCGACTCGCTCTCATCACCCTCTTCTTCCTCTTCCTTGTGGTGCGACAGGAGGTTCGGGTCCTTCCCGATCTTGTTCAACCTGCCGACACACCCAAACCCACACGTAAGTAACACCAAAAGCATCCCGGCTATCTCCAAAATTCTTTCAAATTAAGAGCCCCGCCCCGCTAAAAATGGTGAGTACAAATGAGCAGAAAATCAAAGTCATGTGAATAGAATTTCAATTCATATGAATAGAATTTCAACTCATATAAATAGAATTTCAACTTATATGAAAAGAATTGAACTCATATGAACAGAATTTCTCGATTCACTTTTCGCCGACTCATATGACTAGAGATTTCAACTCACACGAGTTCTAGCGTTGAATCTACCGTGTCCGATATCTCAAAAACTAGTCACCGCATCCAAAAAAAAATTTAGAACAAAATGTTCTTATTTTTCAAATTTACATATTATGTCGGTGTCTCCTGGTCAAAAAAACCACTTCTGAAAAATGAAAAAAAACTGAATTCATATGAGTTGAACTTTTCTACTCTTATGAGTAGAATACTCTATAGTGATATGAGAAGGATTTCTACTCATTTAAGTAGGAAATTCTACTCATGTGAGTCGGCGAATTCTGAATAGCCTACTCATCATTTTTAGCAGGGGCCTGCCAGCGGGCTGATTCTTGAAATTGGCCATTGAGTACATAAAGTTGTACATAGAGTGGGAGAGCTGGCGCCTTGTTCTGGTCGACGAGTTCCGAGCCCAGTGTGCGCCGAGCTACGGTCAAATTTTCAATACATTTTCGATCCAAAGTGGCGATGTAGAACACGTAGTAATTCCTATCCTCTTTAGGCGAATTTTATTTAAAGTTCCGAACCTCTGTGGGAAGTTCTGTCCCGGTTTGTCTTATTGATCACCAACACAAGTGGACCGCACGGTTGTTATCAGATTTGACCAATGATCGTTGGTTTTCTATAAGTTGAACCTTTTTTTATATGTAGAACCACCTCGCGAGGTGGTACCAAAATCACGCACCAACATTGCGATTTGTTAGTCACTGAATTGGACGTATTTCTATCAAACGGACCTAAGCGCCATAGGGTGAGGAAGGTAGAGGGGGGCTTGGATTGGCGGCGGAATCGGGCGTCCGGCTTATTCCGTCCTATACTCGCAATGCTTTTCCATGACGCTTAGGTCCGTTTGACAGAACGCGCTCTCCGGGATTCTAAATTCCTCAAAAGGAATTCAAATTGGCGCTTAGTTCCGTTTGATAGAAATACGTCCAATTGTAAGTTCCGAACTCAAATAGAATGGCAGCTCGGAGGTTCGGGCACAAAAGTAGTACCGAACCTCTAGATAAAATTCGATTTTTGGTTACATCAGATGGCCGGGCCCCAATGTATCGAAAGTAATCGATTATGTATCGAAAAAGTGACCCGACGTGACACAGAAGTCTCGGAATTCAGGATCTGAAAAATGCTTAAAAGTGGCGCCAGCTCTCTCATTTACTTTACGACTCTATTGACTCTATCTCTAAATTGGTAGACAAGGCGATATACAAAGAAGACAAAAAGGATAAGGAGGGATCCTACTGGCGGAAGCAAGTGGTTGCAATGGACAAAGGAGGTAGGTAATAGACTGACTAACGGCAATTCACGAAGGACCCTTCAGTTAGTCCATTATTTTCTCCCCTGGTCTAGAAGAACCAGCGATTTTAACCAATAGGGTCGCTCCACACTTCTTATGTCTTCTTCGTCTACAGCTTTGTCTATCATTTTCATCAATCAGCCTGATACGGACTCATAATTGAAATTGATAGACAAAGCGATGTAGACAAAGGTAAAACAAAGCGATCCTATCCAAGTAGCATTTTGCAACGGAAAAATCGCGTTATATTACGATTCTATCGGCGATAAAATCGCTGGGATCTTCAAAATCTGAGCGCCTGTCCTCGATCTTATCGCGACAAAATCGATATTTTATCGCCTTAACTTATTGCGGTATTGTTGAGATAAAAATTGCGATGTATAGCGATTTAATGTTGATTTTATAGAAAGATATTGATCGCGAGTTTATCGAATCGAAAATTGATAAATAGCAATTTAATTGCGATACATCGCAATTTTCAATTCAATATTATTGTGGTAAATTAATACCGATATATTCGCGATAACCAGCTGATGAAATTGGTATTCATCACGATCACTGCTACTTGGGTATTGGTGGAAACGGGTAAGGTTGTCATAGAGTCAGAGGAAAATGATGGACGAACCGTAGGGTCTTTCGTGGGTTGCCATTAGTTAGTCTGTTACTTACTCATCTCCTTTGTCAATGGCAACCACTCACTTCCATCAACTGGATCGCTCGATTTTCCCTTTCTCTTCTTTGTTCATCGCTGAAGAGATTCAATGTCGCTATTAGGGGTAATAATTATTATTTTTGAATTTTTAAGGGCACTTACCTTTTCCATGGCGCATCTCAGTATCATTTTCACCGGAATGATGGTCATCGAAAATTCTAAGATCATGCATTGAAATTAAAGGTTCTGAATATTTAAAATGGGGGAAAACGCATCAAATTCAACTAACTACCAACCCCGTTTCCTACAATGATTCTTAGGAAAAAATATCATGCCAGATGCAAAATTTCAGCGTTTGAGCGAGAGCGCACATATTTGGAGTACCAAACTCTACTGCAAAGAAAAACGGCGAATGGGATCCCCGGTAAAAATTGGCAGTATAATCTGTGTTCCAAAATACCATAGACCTACAGCCGGCTGTAAGATTTCCAATAGCTTCTATAGCCGGCAACGCAATTTCTTATAGCCTTTTATAGCCGATGGCGATTAAGCAACAGCCTGGCGACATAGTGTATGCTAAACGTTACTAATTATACGGATGCTAGAACTTAGTGAGTTTTTGGACTACCGCTTTCTTTTTGAGCCGTAGTATCTTGATTTATTTGGAGAGGAAAGCTCCGTACTTTTGAAGGATTCCTGTCATTCCTAATATGTCAGAGCGCCTTCAATTTCGTATGATACTGTGCAATACCTCTGGTGTCAAATAGTTGCTTCAAGCGCCGTGGCACGCTCCGGCGCGGCGGGCGGGCAGAGAGCGCGAAACGCGCATCAGCGCCTACAAACCTAACAGGTATACTTCACGCGTTGCGCAATGCGTGAAGTATCCCTGTTAGGTTTGTAGGCGCCAGTTCGTCGCCGCTCCGCTTTGTGTTAGGCTCTAATATTTAATCTCGTGGAGTCAGCGTTTTTCAACTTATGACTTTGAAATGTTAGCACACTCTGTATGGATTATTCTCATTTTAATTGATGAAAAAAAAAATATGTAGTGAAGGAAAATATAATGTGCGTTTTGTAAATATTAAGGTGATTCCGTACAAACTCAAGGATTTACAAAGCACACTAATTTCTACACAATATCTTATAGCCTTTTATAGCCGATGGCGAAAAAGCAACAGCCAGGCGATAAAGTGTAAAGCCCGGCGATAGGAACTATAGCCCGGCTGTATAATTTTTTATAGCTTCGTGTGGCCCGGCCGTATGATTTTTTCCACTTTCTACAGCCAGCTATATGATTTTCTATCGCCTTCTTCAGTCGGCTGTAATTTTGAAACGCAGCTCCTACCGCCAATTTTTACCTGGGATCGAATGCATTTAGTGTAGACTTAATATCGCGAATAATCTAAATCTTGGGTGGTCCAATTTTCGAGGTATCGCAATTTGATATCTTCACAGTAAATGCAAGTTTTCTACCGATTTTCAAACGGTTTTTTAATTATTTGTGCATTGAATCGGTGTCGATCGGTTCACGTCGATCGATCCCCGTTATTATTTTTCGTTCGATTCATGTTGATCGAACACATACCCTCTCGTTGCATGCAGACTTCCTATCATACTCTTTTTTTTAACTGTACAATTCGCCTTCTTGGCCTCTGTAGCGATTAATGTGACGAATAGATTGCGCGTGCTGATTTCAGTGCATCATGTACCTGACTCTCTGAAGTCATTTTATGTGCGAAAGCAATTCGCCTTCAGTTGCGTCCGCGGCAATTGTTGTTACGAATATGTTGTGCGTGCTAGTTTTAGCTGTTTATATACTCGGATCTCTGAAGGCGTTTTATGTGCGCAAACAGCGCAATCTGTTGGAGAACAAACGAGGTAGAGATTGAGCGATTCATTCAATCTCACTTCTGTCGTTCTCCAATAGGGTGCTCTACTATCGCACAAAAAACGCCTTCAAAGAGTCAAGTATGCAATGCGCTGAAATCAGCTCGCTCAACATATTCGTAACAACAATTGCTGCGGGCGCAGCTGAAGGCGAATTGATTTCGCACGCAAAACGCCTTCAAAGAGTCAAGTATGTAATGCTCTAAAATCAGCACGCACAACATACTCGTAGCAACAATAGCTATAGACGCAGCAGAAGGCGAATTGTTCAGTTGAACAAAAAGAGTAGGGTAGGAAGTTTGCATGCAACGAGAGGGTATCAGTGGTGTGGCGTGAAGGATCGATTATCGATTTATCGCCCTTTGAAGCTACGGTAAAGAATCGATTACTAAGGTGTTCGCTGCGAACGCCCTTATAATCGATCTTCTTTCTTAGGTTTGAATGGCGAATCAATCGATATATCGCAAAACACGCCACCTCACCGGAGGGTATGTATTAAATCGACATGAATCGACATAAATAGACGTGAGTGATTGCGTGTGACTTTAATCAAGCCAAACGCAATCATTCGATACCCAATCAAACAATTCAATGAGAGGAACCTGGGAGGAACAAATTTAAGAACAGTGTCGCATCCCACGTAAGTCAAGGCACCGAAACAATTGGTCAACCAGCGTGGGCCGGAAGCACTCGACGGCTTCCTTAGCCGAGAAACGGTGGAAAACACTCGTTTTTGAAAGTTCAACAAACTCACGGTTTTCGCCAATCGCGTGATCCATCGGACTCGTGGAACGTTCCGGACCAGAAAATTGAACTCCCCGGAACAGTGGTCTTGGAAAAAAATGCAACAAAAATGTACCCAAAAACGGGTTGCAGTCGGTGAATCATAGGTACGTGTAGACTTA